AAGAATTGATGCTTTTGAATTGTGGTGCTGGAAGAGGCTCTTGAGAGTCCCCTGGATTGCAAGGAGAACAAACCTATCCATTCTGAAGGAAATCAACCCTGAGTGCTCACTGGAAGGACAGATCCTGAAGCCGAGGCTCCAATACTTTGGCCATCTCATGAGAAGAGAAGACTCCCTGGAAAAAAACCCTGATGTTGGGAAAGTGTGAGGGTGGGAAGGGGATGACAGAGGACAAGATGGTTGGACAGTGTCATTGAAGCAACCAACATGAATTTGACCCAACTCCGGGAGGCAGTGGAAGACAAGAGGGCCTGGCTTGCTCTGGTCCATGGGGTCACGAAGAGTCAGACACGACTAAACAACTAAACAACAACAACGTTTTGTTGACAAAAGCAATGCAAAAAGAGTGTGGGTTTCCATGCATGAAAAACATTAATGGAACAATGAAGAAATGCAACAGAAGAGAGTTGGGAAGAAAGGGAAGTCCAGCAGAGGTGGTCAAGGTGGAGGCCTTTGGGTGTTGCTGGGCTGCAACTAGACTAGAGTGATCTACCCCTCTCCAGGACAGTGAGCGCCTGATGAAACGGCAGCCCTAACTCCAGATCCCTTTGTGAAGTTCATGAAGTCTGAGACTTATCCTGTATTCTGATGTATTCATGGCGTATCCCCTTCTACACCATAATATATATGGGGGAGTACACCATAATATGTATGCTGATCCCAACTGAAGCCGACCCATTGACCCAACAGGGTTTACGTAAGTGAGACTTACTGTACCTTTTGGCAACTGACTCTGTGGGTGCACTCTTATTTGGAATTGGAGATGAAAAGGATGTGCCATTTGGATTGTATAGACTCCAACTCCCAGAATCCCCTGGGTAGAATTCTGGGTGTTCCAGTCCACAAACACCTTCAGACATCCATGTAAGTTTCCGGTCTTATGTATGTATCGTGTGCTGTCAATTCAATTCCGTCTTCTAGTGACCCTTCCTAGGGTTTTCAAGGTTTTCCCTTTCCTCCTTCTGGGGGCTTCCTGGGACTGTGCAGCTGGCCCATGGCCACACAGGCTGGCTCTTCTCTCAGTAGACACAGCGGGAATTCGAACTCTCCACAGCCAGAGACCTAAACCACTGAGCTATCCAGCCAGCATAATAATTGTGTGCCATCCTTAATGTGACTCTCTCCAGGGTTTTCCAGATAGAGAATAGACAGACATAGTTTAATATTTGCTTCTTCTGGGAACATTCTGGGACCGTGCAGCTTGATCAAGGCTACCCAGGCTGGCTCTTCTGCGATACAGAGTGCGAAATCAAACTCCCAATTTCTGACTCTGCAGCCAGATACCTACACTGCTGAGTTATCCAGCCAGTCTTGGTGCCATCAAAGACCCCTGTGATCTATACTTACGTACATACAGAATTAACGCCATCAAAGACCCCTGTGATCTATACTTGCGTACATACAGAATTAATTTTTTTTATTTGCTGTTGTGTAATAACTGGAGGTTTATTGAGTTTACTGTTTTAATGGCTGCATTGTCTGAAACCATCTGACATCTCTTTTGGTTAATGGTGGTACAGGACTGTGTTAAATAAGTCAGTATGTTTCTTGCAGAAGCCTAGTCCATACCTGGTGAGATGAAGAATGTCCGCCATAGCTTCTTGTCACGTGTAACGTCCCTGATTTCTCTGGTCATGTTCACCAATCTGCCAGCTACTGGGGGCACACGTCGAAAATCCAGGATCCTGGTAAAAAAGGGGTAAAAATTTAAGAATTTAAAAATAATCTCTTAACACTCACCCTCTGATAAGATAGGTATTATAGGGTTCCCCACAGATCGTGTAAATAAATTTTAACATATGAATGCATATACAGTGGTGCCTCACTAGATGATGTTAATCCGTTCCATTTAAATTGCTGTCTTGTGAAAACATCGTCTAGCGAAAAGCGTTTCCCCACTGGAATGTATTGAAACCCGTTTCATGCGTTTCAATGGGGGAAAATAGTCGTTGTCCAGCAAAAATCACCCATAGGGAAGCAATTTTACGGAGTGCCAATTAGCTGTTTAAATTTCTGTCTTGCGAAGCATCGGCCCCGAAAACACCCGTTTTGTGAAGATCGCCCATAGGGAAGCCATTTTCCGAAGCTGCTGATCAGCTGTAAAAATCGTCGTCTTGTGAAAAAACGGTCTGCGAAGCACAGACCAAATCATTGTCCAGCAAAATCCCCCCATAGGAAAAACCATTTAGCGAATTGCTATAGCGATTGCAAAAAGTCAACGTCTAGCAAAAAAAAACGTTTTGTGGGGTAATTGTCTTGCGAGGTACCACTGTATATTTGCAACAGAGTAGAGTGACATCCAACACAGCTCATGAGCAGAGTCTTGACCGCAGTACTGCAGTTTAACCACCGTGTCACCAGGCCCTTCATAAACATCTGAAGGGCCACCCAGTCTCTGTTTTAAACTAAAGTTCAGTGGGAGCCCTGTTTGTCAGATACATACTTTAAAAACAAATGATGTTTCTTACCTATCCAGATGAAACGCTGCAATTTCAGCATTATGTCTTTCGTAGTCAGAGAAATAAAAGAAGTCTGGAGGAGTTTCCTGCTCTCTTGTCTGTCTGAAAAAGAAGGACAACCACCAAAGGTTTATTTACCTTGAGAAGAATCCCTTTAAATGTACAAGGAGCCTGTTTTCAGAGCACGCTCTCTCTCTCACTACTCATATTAAAGGTGAGAATCTTTGAGTTTCTGAATTAGAGATGGGCACCAACCATTGATTTGTTTATTGATCGAACAGGTGTTTCCGGTGCTTCAAAGCCCTGCCTCCCCCAGCAGGCGCACACTTGAAGGAAGCAGCCTGCCTTCCCTGCCCCACTTCTGAGTGGGTGCCTGCTGGAGGAGGCAGGACTCTGACGCCCTTAACACCTGTTCGGCCACTAAATAAACCAGCATGCACTGCCAAACCAGCAGTTTGCGTCCATCTCTATTCCAGTTTTTTGGCGCACAACTCTTGCTGTTGGTTACCACTGGCCTTGCCAATTGCTGTCTGGGACAGCTGCAGTCCAAAACATCTAGAGGGCCAAAGGGGGCCCCCCACTTCTGATTCGCTTCAAATTCAGAGGGGTCTGGGGACTCCCACACCTGTGTGGGGTGGGAAATTCACTCCGGGTTTCGGTCCGAACTTTACAGGAGCCAATCAGAGGTGCTCAACCAAGTTTAAACACGGGGTTTAAAGTTTTAAGTTCTTTAAAGTTCTGCATAAAATCCAGAGTGGATTCTCTCCACTTGCATAATCAGTCACTAAATCAAACCAGTAAAATATGTCAGTGGGGGGTTCACATCCCACCCCTTGTTGTTGATATAAACATTCAAAACTACTGCACACCCAGTTAAGACAGTCAACTCACATAAGCCAGCATTATTTACAAACAATGATAGTTGCTTCCCGGTATCCCATGTGCTTACTTTCTCATGCGTGTCAAGAAGAAGGAGAAACACATTGATAGAAATGACGCTTCCCCCTCTTGCGATGCCTGGCATTTTGCCCAGTAAACCTTGAGTTTTGCACAAAACACAAGTTGTATTTCAAGGCAAATTGAATATTTGTGGGGTGCAAAAACAACAAAAAACCCCCACAAAACCACATTTCCCCTTAGCCCCTTGCTTCTGATGAAGCAGTATGCCAATCATTTTGCCCTGTGCTAATTTTTACTCTTTTAAGGAAATTTTTTATTAATTAATTTTGCATTTTACAGTCATGCCCCGCTTAACGATTACCCCGTATAATGACGAATCTGCTTCACAATGTTTTTGCAATCGCAATTGCGATCGCAAAACGATGTTTTAAATGAGGTGTGTTTTTTTTGCTTTGCGAAGATCGGATTTATCGATGGATGGGTAGGTAGGTAATCTTGCTAGCAGTTGATCATACAACAGTACCCTAAAGCAACATAGGCCATAAATTACTGCATGATGTACCAAACACCCAAGAACCAATGAATATTTAGAATGGTCTGATGGTGAAACCGATATTTCATTCAACATTTCATTCTGTTTCCGTATATCTGATGAAGTAGACATGTCCACAAAAGCTTATATTAAAATGTAATAGTCTATATGGTGCCACACTTTTTTTTGTCTTGTCCTGTTTTGCTTCTTTGGATATTGCCTGACATACTTTCAATAGTGTGTCTTGATGCACTGTGACAGCTGGGCAAAGTCTTGTTTCTCAAGACTAATTTTGTGGATTCTGGTCCTACCAGACTCCTCAACCTTTTCATTCAGGGGAGAAAATGTGGAAGAACTCATTCACAACCTTACTTCATTAATGAGCAAGTCCCTCCACCAATTCTACTCGGATGGCATTTCCAAGACTTAGTAGCTCCTTAGGAAGATGAATCATGTCTGCTCAACTTATGCACCGATGTATCCATGGAGCAGAAACACACCAGACCTATTTCTAGCCCTTCTGGAATCCTACTGTTTGGTTTCTTTGGCATTATCAGAATCTTCCTGCGGCATAAACCGTTTCTAAGAATAGGACGCTACCCGTCAGTAAGCCTACAACTTAGAAGGATGACCAAGAAGATTATCCACTCGCAAGAGTAAGGAACTGGGGCAATGTTTGGCTTCCCAAGGTTGCATCAGACTCCCTTAATAGCAATGACATGCTGTCAAGTCAATTCTGGCTTATGGTGACCCTTTTCAAGGTTTTCCAGGTACGAATAATCAGGTTTCCCACTCTTTTCTTCTGCAGGCAACCTGAGACCATGCAGCTTGCCCAAGGCTACCCAGGGTAGCTTTTCTCCTGGGAGGCCCAATGGGGAATTAAAGTCCTAGTCTCTGATTAGATGAGCCATCTAGCCATCTAGCCAGCAATCAGATCCCCATATTCACTACCAAGAAACAAAACAAGGTCTCCCCATGGGAGGAAAATGACACTGTCATTTTTTAGACATCTACAGGAGTTGCTATTCATCTATCAAACAGACCACATTCCCCAATACGGCTTCCAACGCTCAAACTACCCATTTCCCCAAAAGCAGAAGGTGGCCCCCCTGAGATTCTTGCTTCTAGGCAACAGAAGAAATGTCGTTGCTGTTTTCATCAACATCGACCTAATATGATATCGGCCTCTCTGCATGAAAACATTAGAATCCTTTCCCTCTGAGAAATAAGCAGACACTCACTGCAAGCACCAAAATAATGGCTGAACGCAGCTTAAAAAGTCCAACGAAGTTGCAACAAAACCACCACCATAGTCGTTTTGCATGATCTACACAAAAAAGAATTCTGATCCTCATTCTCTTGTCCTGTCCAGAGTGTGGCTAAACACCTGACCCTCTCAAAGGGTGAGAACCATAGCGACATGCTGCCATGGAGTCATCTGTGTAAGGAAAAGAAGCTAACATTTCCATCTATAAATTGGTGGCTTCCCATTCCTAGAGATTTTCCACTGTTAGGATAATAGTTCCCAACCTAGGGTAACCCAGGCGTTCTTGGACCGCGATTCCCAGAAGCCTTCACCATTAGTTGTGCTGGCCAGGATTTCTGGGAGTTGCCCTCCAAGAAGACCTGGATTATCCAAGGTTGGGAACCACTTGTTTTGAGCAATGGTTCACAACCTTGGATCTCCAGATATTCTTGGACTAAAACTCCCAGAAGCTTTCACTGCCAGCTGTACTGGGCAGGATTTCTGACAAATGTGGTCCAAGAACATCTGGACCCGACCGCTACTCTAGGAAGAAGAAAAAAGCCTGGGGACGGCAGGGAAAGGAGGGCACTGAAGCACATAACGAAGAGAAGCCAATGGGCTCATTAAGGATTTGAGCCTGTAATTGGGCAGACGTTCAGCAAAGTCCTAGCCTATCAGGAGACCAATATCCTAGCCTATCAGGGCAATAGTCCACTTACAAGATCACAGCGTAATGACGGTATTTACTTTCTGAAATATGAAAAAGTGCATCTCCTTCTTCCAGACTGTCTCTGCCCAAGATCTTGAAGACTTTCACTAATTATGCCAAACAAGATTACAGGCATGTGATTACTGCGATATAATCATACCCTTGGGTTAAATGAGTCTGATTTCTCACACCCTAAGGCTAAATGTTCCTCAGAGGCGCCATTTCCTAACAAAATAGCGCACACCTTTGATCTTGTTTTATTGCTGGTTGCTAATATTCTTTGCTGCATCACAGAGGCTGCAGCATCCCTCAGAGTTATGGGGAGGGCTGCGTGCTGGCAAACTGTTTTAAGTGATTTTGTATTGCAACCCAAAAGAGATTAGAAAGGTGAGTGCTATTTCAGGGTGCATTAATAGAAGCATGGGGTCTCCAAATCTCATGGAACATTAGTTCCCCCTCTATACGGCATGGGCTAGGCCTTATCTTGAATACTGTGTCCAGGACACCGCAGTTCAAGAAGGATGCCAACAAATTGGAACAAGTTCAGATGAGTGCAAGAAAGATTATCATGGGATGTGCACCCCTCTCTCTCTCTCTCTCTCTCTGTGTGTATGTGTAGAAGGAGAATCATGTCCACCAGAGGTGGAATTCTCTTGTTATCTGGAGCAGTGGTCCCCAACCTTAGGCCTCCAGATGTTCTTGGACTACAACTCCCAGAAGCCTTCACCACCACCTTTGCTGGCCAGGATTTCTGGGAGCTGAAATCCAAGAACATCTGGAGGGCCAAGGTTGGGGAACCACTGATCTGGAGAGAGACTGGTTGGGTATGCCCTCTCCAGAATCTAAATTTATTTATTATTTTTATGCCTAACAGATAGACTCGTTCTGCTGCCATGGTATGTGTTATGTACACACATTCTACTAATGTACCCTCGTGGAATCTTCTCAAGATGATTTCTGCAGATGTTCTTGCTTCGGGGGCCCACAAAAATAGTCTTGGTGGTCCTCCACAGGACAGACAACCCAGAAGCAGAAGTAGACTAGCTTGGCTGAATGTTTGTGGATCAGTGGCGGTGAACTATTTCCACCCCCCCTCTCACTGGAGAACCACATTCCACCAGGAGAATTTGGGTGAGGGGGCATAGAGAATTTTGGCAATTCTGGGCAATTTTGGGTTGCCAATGCTGCGTGGCATTCTCCAGGAGCCACATGGACCTCCAGAAGTGCGATGACGAAGAAAATGAAGACAGAGATGATTTGTTAATAATAATGAATTATGAAATATAATGAGTATGAAAAATAAGTTTAAAAAAATTAAACTGGAAAATAACAAAAGTTGGTATTTGGGGGCAGGGGGGGTTGATCTCTTTCTCAGAAGCCTTGCGGTTTATTTAAAAGGCGAAAAGGAAGCTTCTGGGAACGGTTGTTCTTTTAAAGCCGCAACCGTACAGATTGGTTAAAAGTGTGCGGCCAATATGGTCACAAACGAGGACAGGATGCTTACAATTAAAACAACCAACCAATGCTTGAACGTGAGCCTGGACTGGCACAGTCTGATATGACATCTCTTGGCAGGTTGGTTGAAACCTGTGGAACTTCGCCCTACTCCCAACCTCTCCGGGATGTCTCGTTTCCAGCATCCAACCCAGCCTTCTCAAACCATCAACTGTCGTCTCCGTTTTTAAAAGCCTTCTCAAAACATTGCACGTTTACAATGGAGAAAAACTCCTCTGCTACCAAGTCCTTTTGGCTCCATAGGCACTCCCCGGGATTCTGACCTTCCAAGACAGGCCAGAGCACAGACTTAATGCTTCTCCCCATGCCGCAACCCTATGTTACCCTCCTTCCTGAAAAATTCATGCACCCAAAGGGGAACAAAATCCAAATAGGTAACTTTCAGCACTTAAGGTGGGTTCACACTGAACGACTGGGAGGCATTATCATATTTCCTTGTGAAAGGAAAAAAAAATCCCAGCATGCTTGTTGGCCAGCAATGGGGATGGTCCTCCCCCTTGACTACAGTACCATCATTCTCCATTCAATCTACCTTGCAGACACCTTACAAACATCAGAATGCGATGCACTTGGGAGAAACCCTTAAGTTTTTGAGGCTGGGCCTAGCTCCATCTGAGTTTCCTGTAGCTGCTCCAGGAGCTTTCTTGCTGATGAAAATTAGGTGAAGCTAGGTGGGACGTGGTGGCACTGTGGGCTAAACTGCAGAAGCCCGTGCTGCAGGATCAGAAGACCAAGCAGTCATAAGATCGAATCCACGTGA